CAGTCCAATGGGAAACAAAAGCCTGGCAGGAAAAATGGAGCTGTTTATTTATCGTGATTGCTGTTGCTGTGTGGGAATATCAGCAGGAAAGAAAATGGGAACAGACAGTGTGGTAGACAGGAGACCTATAAAAGAAGTGATGCCCCTGGGCCGAATATCCCTTCAGTATTACAGTCCCGCAGATTGCCTGCCTTATTAATGTGTTCCATCCCTCAGGCTTTGCCATGCGCTCTGGAAACCATGATTGTGCTGGCCCTCGTTTTTCATGGCCACTTAAAGAAGCTCAAACAAAGGCTTCCTCTGTGGTGTTACTTGAGTGTGGTTATACTGTATGAATCTTTTAAGTCACATTGTGTAGGCACTTGTAATCAAGGCTACTGTTTAGGCTGGATTCTTTTTTTTATATGCCAAGAAACTTGCAAACAAAGTTGACTAACTTACAAAAACAGATTCACTGTGGGAACAGGGCTCCAGGACACTTGAAAACCTAACCTGATACACCTGATTTTTTTTTTCCTTCCCAGTTTTCTGGCTTAAAGACTGGGCAGTAGATGCTCCAGAGATTCTGTTGCAGATCTCCTACAACTTCATGATGGTTATGATGAGATAGACTTTAATTAAACTATACCTGGAGGTGCATTTACTGTATATTCTTCTGTATGTGAATGGTGAAAAAGACTTAAGATAGATAAAACTATATGCTGAATATAGAAATGGAAACAAATAATCTAAAACATTAACTTGCTTTTTTATTCAATTATTTGAAACTATTGGACTGCGAGAGTGACCTTTGTCAGTTTAGTTAAAGATTTTTTGTTCTCAGCATTTTTGGAAGATGCATGAAATTGAAACTCATTTGCACATGCAAAAGAGAAAAATACCTGGTTCTTGTCTCATCCTTTTACAGACATTTTGTAGCATGCTAAATTTAGCAGGATATTTTATATAGTTCTGAAGAGCCGGTGTGTTCTTTTTGTTGTTAAAAATGGCATCTGATAATGACATTTTAAAGACGCACTCTGTACCGTGCTCAGCTAAGTTACTTTTTAAAGTGACTGCTTGTGGAGTAAATGATCTGTTTTTTCTGAAGCGAATGTCTGATTGTTTGAGTCAGGCTAGATACTGTAGTTTAGCCTAGGTTAGCATGAAATTTAAAGTTTGAGCAAATCATCAAAAAACCTAATGTTGTGCAGGTCAATGAATGATTAATTATCAGAATGCAGCAATCTCTGTAAAACTAGATTTCACCCCATATGCTGAATTAGAAAAAGTCAGTAACCAATGGAAATGTCTCACTTAGATCCCTCACCATTATGTTTTAATTCTCAGACTTTATCATTCAATGATATTATTGTACATTGTTTTACTTTATTTTTAACTGATATCTCATTTTTCTGTAGGGTTTTGGGGAAATCACTTAGTTGATTACTTCTTATGATTTATGAGACTTTACGTCTTTATTCAGTTGTATTCTCTATTATTGCTGCTGTTGTGAATCTCGCCTTCAGCATTTCATTGTTTTACAGAAGGGAGGGGAATTTCCAAGGTACCATGTGTAAACTCAGAATAATCTTCATATGGGCAATTGGGATCAGCAAGTGGTTGAACTGCATCTTTTAATGAAAAGAGAAACAATTCTAAAATACCCAATATCATATTTTAAAGCACATGTGCCTGAAGCTGTGATTTACATTTTTATACTAGGTCCTGTCAACATTACATTTTTTTAGCGCCAAAAAAGATCTCACAGACCAAGTCGAAGCACTCTTTTTCCACACGCAACACAAGAAGACTATTTACACTTCAAGCTGACATTTGAAGATTCACTTTCTCTATGGTCTGTTAACTGTGCATTAATAAAATGGTCAGTAACTGAGTAGTAGGAATCTCCTTATGATTAATTGGATGTTTACTTACAAATTAAAAAAAAAAATGTTCTCCTACGAAGACATCATTCATAATTGAGTGTTTCTATCTTGTTTTAAAGGGATTTGCAAATCAGTTTTATCCCAGAAACATTTTTGTAGTGTCGAGTTTTTTTTTAAACCCCTTGTTTTCAGTGGCATCAGCTAAACTTGTTTTAAAGCATAGGTTTGCTTATTCCAACACCAATAACCGCCGTATTCTCCTGTTGTGAGAAAGAACTGGTGCTTTCGCCGGAATGGGAGCGTTGAAATGGTGGTTCAGGCAGTCCACAGGGCCTTGCAACTGTTCAGAAAAGAAGGGATCCATCACCCCCTGTGTTTTTCGGGGACTGCCGCAGTGTATAGATTGTCTTTTGTGAGAATCCACAGGTTTTACTGGCATTGATTTGTATACTCCTGCAGCTCAAGTGCCGAGAACTTTTTGTTCTCAAGAAAACAACGCAAGAAAAATTGAACATTTACAGGTTCACAATGAATTTGCTGGACTTCGATAGGTGGCCTCCACTAATTATGTTCACTGGGCAAGTATACAGTAATTCACCACACAGATGATGTGGGTATTACACTGGTCAAGTGGACAACATAAGATGATGGTGACTGTTTTCTGCCATTCCTCTTTTTTGTATACTATTTGTAATTTATTTAATGCACATATCTATCATCAAAGTTTAAGCCTTTCCATCTTTTTTTTTTGCCTTTGTGACTGGTACAAAATTCACTGAATTCACTGTAATTGGATATTAGGAAAAGTATGTAGATACAGTATTAGAATTAATGTTTTTTTAACCTGTATACTCACACAAAAACTGAATGTTTTTATCTTCATAAAAAAAATAATTTAAAAAGGTTGTACATATCCGGTTCTGTTGGTGCTCTGTTCCAATTTATCTGACTTTCGTGACCTTTTCAGTCAAGCCAACTTTCAGTCTCTGGCACAAAATATTTTGTCATCAGAGTTTTTTTTTTTGCTTTTATACACTAATTAATACAATTCTTTTGATATTTCATAAACAAGCGTGTTTGCGTAAAGTATTGGTACATGATCTGTATTAATGCAAAAGCTATCCCCCATGATTAAAAAGTCATTGTGCTTAGGATGAGATGCTGGTGGTGATTGCTTTTCTCTTATCTGATTTATGAACTTTTGGGATGTAGTTGACATTAATCACTGTGGTAAATGTGAGACACCGCTCAGATCACACAGGGATTAAGAGGCTTTTCCAGTCTTTATATTTATGTTTTGGATAGCGTTTACTGATTAATACTGTATTTTTAAAAGGTATGAAAAGAATACAGTGATTTTACAGCAGAGTAATGTAGGTTCAGCTAAGGACAAAAGTTAGTGCTAGGGATCAACTGAAAGTGACTGCAAATTTTCAAGCCTAGCAGAGATTAAACACACGACAATACAGTCCAAACCCATCAACACAGTATTGTTGTAGTATTTATCTGAATGAAAAAGTTGGTATTTGATTAAAATGTCTTGTAATACTATTAAATGGTTCATTTACAGTCATGAACATCAGCATTGGCCCATTCTATTTGCAAACAGCTGAATGTCTTAAGTACAACAAATAGGGTTAAACTTTACAGTATGCATCTGATGTCTTCTCTGTGTTTTGAACTTTTACCCTAAAAGTGGTAATTAAGGTTTCAAATCGGTTAGCTGTTTCAAGACATGCATGAACAATTCTATTTGAAAATCTATGTTAGTCCACACAGTAGATTAAATTAGTATTTGCATCCTGTATCTTATATTAAGTACATATCTTAAATTAAGTAAAATACTGGATTAAACATTCACTACCCCTTGGTTGTGTTAGTGAGTATTTTTTAGGCATTTGTGAACAAGTAGTACAGTATGTGTTTAAATTAACAGATAAAGTGAAAGATCATTGGAGTCTTTCAGTACCGAAGTCTGTCTGCAAACGTTTCAAGGTTTTCTGAGGGAATGCTAAGAACCCCCTCCATATATGCACACTGCCTACTGTCAGCTTTATATTAGGTCTAGAAATTTTACATTTTTCAGTTTTGGTTGGAAAAAAATCTGATTTTGACATGACACCTTTGACAAGTGTTTTGTATGTTTTCCAACACTGTGAGCCCTGCCTGAGTGGGCCTGTTCAGTTACTGCAGAGGGAGTGTTTTGTGAAACAGCAGACCCTGAAATCCCAGACAGGCTCCAGACTTCCTGTGTCACCTTGGAGACAGAGGAGCCCTGCACTCCTGCCTCCACCATGCACCTCAGGAGAGCACAGCTGCGGGACTAGTTAATAAGCCAGATTAAACATCTCACATGAGCAGCAATAAATAGCAGCGTTTTCCTATAAACCTCTCATTTGTACACAGGTTGGCAATTGAGTCCCAAATGTGTGGCATCTGTAGCTCAGTTTCACTACCTTTTATCAAACGCAGTACATTGCCACACAGGATCTCCGTACCTGCAGGTCTTTTTGCATACTGATTGTTCTTTGAGGACTTGATACCTGTACGTCTTTCCAAGGCTTTTCATTCTAGCTTTCTTTACCATGACATGACATTTCTTCTTGATTCGTCCTGCTCCAGCTTTGAGTTGTTTCCGACTTGCCAAATTATTTGTTGTAAACTCTCATTCATTGTTTTTTTAGGACACCATTCTGTTATGATGATGAAACGGACATGCCATTTGTTCTACGTGATTCAGTCCATTAATTGCTTTGTTCCCTGTGCATTTCTTGAATACCAAAAAATGTATTCTTTGCTCATTGCAATGTTCAGAAATTATTGGTCTTATACCTTTCTTAAATATGTAGCTGTTTGTTTCTATTGCACATTGAAGCAAGTTGCTTTTTGTAAACACAATAATAACAGTTTGATGTCAAGAGCAGATAATTTTTGCTTTTGAAGAATTCCCTTGAAAAATTACCCCTCAATTGTCTTTTGATTAATATTTATCTGCAGTGGATGCTTTAAAATTTCATTTCATTTCTCATTACAGATTCTAATACTTGTTTGACTCAACCCTGTGCAGAGAGAAGTCCAGGTGGCTGAACTGCTGGTGGTGAACTCACTGGTGTTGGCATTTTTATTTGGCAGGTATCTGGCCCTCTGAAAGTCCTCAGCCACTGAATGAGAAAGAGGGGCCAGAGAGCAGCCACTCCCAGCCTGCGGAGATCTCAGACTCCCCCAGGTGAGTTGCACTGCTCTGCCTTTCCATCCTATGTAAACAGAAGCACTACAGTAATTGCACCTTTCAGCTGTTCTGAGCCCCTGCCATGAGCTGGTGCCGTGAGAATACCTGCAGATAGTAATTAATATCACGGAAGTATAGCCTTGGACCTTTGTCGTTTCATTTTCATTTGTATTTATTGTAAACAAACGACTGCTGAATGTGCAGTTGTCCAGCATTTAACTTTTTGGTGATGTACTGGTAGTCCAACATGGGTTCACCACAACATTCCCTTACCACAATTTCTTAATTATTCTGAGAGGCTGTCATTTTCACTGGTGTGGTCCCTGCTGTAAGTGAGTTGCTGTGTACTTCAAGGCTGAAGACCTCTTGGATTTTGATCCTATAGCTGAGGTAAACTGTTGCTTATCGAAGGTATTAATGTCATCATATAGTGATTTTGGTCTGTTTCTCTCCCTTGCTGTAGAGCACTTGACGTGAACCATACATCATTAAATAATCTTTCACTACATAGATATCCTGATATGAAACAGATTTATCAGGAGAGAGAGAGGCTTCCTGTCTGTGTTTCCTTTTGCAATTAAAAGGAAGTAGAACTGGCAATTTCATGTCAGTAGCACTTTAATTAACAAGCACAAGCACATCCGGTCTTCTTTGGTTGTGATATCTCATCTAATGTGAAGTTGATTCAGTGATCTTAGACACAATTAAAGTTGTTTTAGTTTACCTAATTAGTTTTCCTTTCCTTCATATTTCTGCACATTGAGGTAACGTTTGGATGTAAGAACAGATCACAAGTAGATGTGTGAAAGCTATTTCAGTTTTTTAATTTTTCCATTGGTTTTATAATTCATGACTTTGTGGTTAAATTATTCATCCTCATTTTTCACTTATTCTTTTCATGACAATTCCCTGTTAGTTCCTTAATTAGTAAAAGAACATTCCATCTCTGAACGCCGCTTCCCAATGATAGGAAGAAGTATTATAAATGTATAGAATAGAGGAATGCATTTTGTATGCTGCTTTGAGCATCTACAGTATGTATAATATAACATTGCATTGAGACTGTGCAGGAGAAGAATCACCGTTGCTGATTAGCTTCTGGAGTGTTGTATTCATTTGTTTTAACAGGATTTGAGCAAGTAATCTGGATTTAAATAACCAAGTGTTTAGTGTAAAAAGTCTGACATCCATTTTGCCTATAATGAAAAATTAGCTCCAGGAATTACAATAGCTTTTATAACGCTGGTACCCACTGCTGATGCCTGCCATGGTATATTTTCAGTATATTTTCAGGTAGTGCAGTTCATCTACCTGTTAGGTTTGAAAAAGTTACTCTACAAGACTAGGTGGCATTCAGTACTCTAAATCAGTTGTTCTCGACCTTTTGTCACCCAAGCAGCACCTTAAGTCCTTAAGTGTTCCTTTACTGACCATGTACCACACAACAGTGGCTGGGGTCCAAGGGACTTGACCTAATTTTGCAATTTGCATACTCCCTAAACATGAAGCTTTTCATTCTGAGATCCAACCTACAAAATATTTTTTTTTTCCTCTAATGTTATTTTATTCACTCCAAGTTTTTGTTTCTAAACGGCTATACACATTTGCAGGTTTTAAGCTTTCATTTGCAAAAAACATCCATACAAAACACATTGGGGTTTAGGTTCACTTTCAGATCCATTCCATGTAAAGCCTAATTTTAAATGCTCGTCATCATACTTACCTGTCTTCTTCTTCTTCACTGTATTTGCTGTTTTTAGTAGGTCTTTCCATTTCAACATCACTGATTTCGTTACTAAAATTCACTTCTGTTTCAAAGATCCAGTTTGAAGCCACTTATCCATATTGATCAATATCAGAGTTAATTTTAAATTCCTAAAATAAACTGATTGATACATGCTACACTTACCAAGAGAATGTAAAAATGACTCCACTAATAGACAGCTAGACATTGAGTTGCGTTGTGTAATTCCATACAATGCTGACTAAGAATCGAGAGAGACTGAGGTGAGAGTAATGGCTATTGTAACTGCAAATACCATTTTTTGCGAACAATGCAGCGATCAGACACCACTTTAAGTCACGGTGGCAGAGAAAGTCATCCATAAACTTTAGTTACATTATATTTTTATTATAAATTAATGTACATTAAGTGAAGAATTTTTGTATATATCATAGACCAAATTTACTTTGATTTGGTCTTGTTTATTATATCGCTAATCATTAATATTTGTATGCTGGTGGTCTGTGGACCATCTACCTGTATAACAAACCCACAGTCCACCAGCAGTCCCTTGGACTAATCTAGATTTAAGTTACCACAACAACGTGAAGTAATGTGTATGCAAATTACAGAGTTGTTTGTGGGGCAAAGAAAAAGAATGATATTTCTATGTACAGTAACAGTATGATTCACACATTTCTCTTCCCCTTTCAGTGATCTTGAGCTCTGTACCCATTTCCTTCAGGCTTACATTCTTCATTTTACCCTGTTATCTAAACAGTGTTTTTTAAAAGTGTTTTTTTTTTGTGGAATTTGTTATCTGTATTTTTTTTCATTCTCTTTGTTGTGTCCCAGAGCTCACTAAGAAATGTTAGGTGCACTAGTTCCTAGCATGTTTATAAAGTGCAAGGAGACGCATTAAGAGAAAAGTTAGTGAAAGCTAACTATTTGTTCACTATTCTAAAATTCCCTGCCACTGCTGTCTGTTTTGATACACTTTCAGTCATTTTAAAATTAAAAAGTCAAAAGATGAGGTACAGTAGCTACAAACAACCCTCTTCAGTTCCAGTGCCTCTGTACCAAACAACTGATTTCTTTATCTGCTTGAAGATGTCCACAAAGTTAAATTTATTGTTTTTTCATCATCATGAAGTAGATGTTTTTAATAAGGTCTGAAACCAATTAGAATTCTAGAGATAGTTTTAACAAAGAATTTCTTTGATTTCTCCATAGCTGTTATCTTTTCCATGTCATCTTAAAGGTGACCAATTTGAAAAAAAAAAGATGTTTTGTTTAAATGGCAGTGAAAAACAGAATCAATTAATGATGTATTAATTTTGGGAGAGCAGCTGATATTTTCTGTACTCAGTCGCCCCAGTGGAAAGACACAATGTAGCAAGATGGAAATCTGCACAACAGGAAGTGTATGATTACATTCTTGCATAATATGTTCCAATGTGAAGGTCATACAACATAGAAATTTTCTGATTTGAATGTTTGCATTTCAAACCTCACAAAACAATTACTTATTTTGAAAACAATTAAATAATTTCGGAACATTGTTGTATTTGGTTCCTTCAGCAACAATGCTGAACAAGATTTTTTTTTGCCATGTGTTGTCTGACTACAGTACAGTAGATAAAGATGGTTCATATTCTAAAGTGTGGAAAATACAAATACTAAAAAATACAAGTACTGTAAATGTACAAGATAAATAACGGAGATACCTTGAAGTGGTCTATTTTGTATAGAACCTGCTGTTATTTTTCTCTTGTTTGAGAGGCACAAACCTCTGTCACTGCATTCACATTGTGAGATAAAGGAGCCTTGAAATAGGCCTTTAAAGTGCCCAACTAATGTGGATTGAAATCATTGCAAACAAGACGGTGTTAAGTGCATTTTTTGCAGAATATTTCAGTAATCCTGATTACTGAAAAAAAGAATACTTGTTTACTGCAACCAGATTGAAAATTCAGCGCACGTCACAATTTAATATTTTTAAGTGGGCTGTATTTGTTAGACAAATCTTGTAAGCTGTGAAATGGTTATTGTATTTCATGAATATGAAGACTTGGTTTGTAAAGGCAGTGTGTTACTCTGCTGTATATTCACTATATCTTGGGTATCCAAGTGAAGCTACAATGTGCACTTAACTGACACTGTCAGTTGTACTGGAATCGCCAAACAGTGAGGACCTGCTGGCAAATGTGTACCCAAGGTATGCCTGCGAATCTTGAATCTGAAAATAGATTTCGTTGCAATCCCATTTGTAATGGCTGTCAAGTAATGCCAGCCTTTCTTGATCATGTGATCACATTCTGAATGCTTCTCCTTTTTGGAGAAAGAGGAAAAAAGCAATGCAAAATCCATGAGCACTGCTTTAAAATAGCCGTGTGGTTCAAAGGATATACAGTAGAGTCTGCTTGAGATTCTTTAATAGGCTGAAAAGCTAGTGCTGTCCTCTGAAGAGATTATTATGTTATAAAAAGACAGAAGAGCCAATGGAAGGGTATGTACTCTTTTGTTTCGTATGTTTTTGTATTAATTAGCTTCCATAGATAATCATTTCATCATGGGTAGCTCCATTAAGGGAATGCATACCTCCAAAACAGTCTTAAAAAGCACAAGAGGGGAAAAAGGGTATGCAATCTTTGGTGCACGAAAACAAAAAGAGCAGTTTTGGAAAATTAGCGGGTCACTAGGCTGTCTGTGGCAAATGCATGAAATGATCGTGCATTGTTAATAAGGCCTGTTGTCATGGCAACCCTCTTGCTAGTTTACAAAACCCTTGGGCTAGTTTCAGGAACATTAACTCTCTGTAGCCATACAGACAACATGTAATGACCCCGTGGTGGAATAACAGTTTACTTTAGTAATATCAGATGTAGGAGTTTCAACTGTGGAATGTATATTCTTTGTGTACTTCTCATTGCTATATTCTCCTGCTCTGTGGTGGCGTAGCAAACTGTACATCAGAGAATACTGTATCTGCCTAAAAATTCAGATGGGATTTGGCTATTTTCAACTGATGTTGGGTCAGACACAGCTTTGTAATATGCTGAAGCCTGCCATAGGAAAGCTTATTCAAACGCATTGAACTCACTAATACATATTGGCAATTTTGTCAAGTGTAAACATTCTGTAAATCATTTCATTAATGAAAATGTGACCACTGTTACATCAAGGATTTCATGCTGGGATAGGCGATGCATTTAAAATGCTTCTCATTCCAAGAACTACATCCACAGAGCCAAAATGAATTAATGCAATCAAG